AGTACAAAGGACTTAGTCCCATCCCGCTAGCAATAAAAAAAAGCCATGGAGCACAGCTGAGAAAGGTGGACAATGACATGATATTCTACACTAATCCAACAGGAAAAAAAGTTCAGTGAAGTAAGATCTAGAGATGTGTTTGGAGGCATGGTTTAGCGCATCCAGTGTGTCATCAGCACAGTACTGTAACTTTTGTATGGAAATTAGTTTGATCAAAATATATTCTTAAAAATATCCTTGGGAAAAATCATAACATTAAGGTAGCTAACAGATCCTTTGAAAACATGGCCAAGTTAAAGTATTTGGGAATAACAGTAATAAATCAAAATTTGATTCATGAGAAAATTATTAGCAGATCAGATATGGGTACCATTCAGTTCATGACCTATTGTCTTCTCACCAGTTTGTTGTCCAAAAATGTAAAAATTAAAACATAAAAAACTACAATTTTGTCTGTAGTTTTGTACAGGTGTGAAACATGGTCTGTGACATTAAGGGAAGAACAGACTGAAGGTATTCTGAGGAGAATATTTGGACCCTAGAGGGATAAAATAGGAGGCTGGAGAAAAATGCATAATAAGGACCTGCATAACTTGTACTCTTTGCTAAACATAATTAGAATGATAAAGTCAAGAAGCGTGAGATGGGCAGGGCATGTAGCACACATGAAGGGAATAAGAGGAAGGCATACACAATTTCTGTGGAAAATCCAGAAGGAAAGAGGCCACTAGGAAGACTAAGGCAGAGGTTGGAGGCTTATGAGGAAAAAGGTGGGCTGATATGGACTGGAGGAGACAAGTGCAAAGCTCTTAAAATAAGGTAATGAACCTTTGGATTCCATAAAACGAGATCTTTCTCTCTGTCACTCTGTCTTGACCACCTCTGTGGCTCACCCACACCTTCCCATCCAACGGTATGAAGGGTTCCTTTTTCAGGGTAGAGTGACCAGGGCATGAACATAACCACTCATCTTAACTCTTTGACTGGCACGAAGGGTATTTAAATCCCACCCCTGTCCTGGCAGGCCCTTTAAACCTTATGTCGCTAAAATGCATGTAGTTACTTTTTCCTAAACAACTTCAACAAAAATTGGTTTTTAAAAACGAAATTTTCAGTAACTAATTAAAATACAACATTTTATGTAATAAATGCCTTTCCATACCTCTTCATTAGTTTTTCTTCGTGTGATAAACATTGAAACATGAAAGTTTGCAAAGAGCCACACCACAGCCTGCACATATAATACTTGTTTCTTTTCTAAACTTGTGCTTAGCACTCACACGACCCTTTCTCAGGGCAACATTCTTCTTGTTACTGGGAGGAACATGGGCCATTTTGTGAATTTTCAAGCCACCCTCTAGACAATTTACTGGCTCTTTCACTGGTGTTCTTTTCAAGGTCGAGGTCGGAGGCGTGACTGCACTCGAGTCTGACGCAATAGATTCATCATCCACTTCATTCCTTGACTCTTCTCCCTTTCCACCCTGTTTGTTTGGTTCAGTCATTTTTCTACACAGTCCAATATAAAATTTTTGAATCTGTAATTTCTCTTCTTGTATTTTTAATTTGTTGTGTTCTTTTTGAATAGAATGAAACTATTCAACCGCAAAGACCTGTTTTGTCCATACCATGGGTGTGAAATAGGGGCCTAGTGGACAAATATTNAAACATGCACAAAAACTATCATATATATGTCTTTGGTTGATGAGTGCCAAGAGAGCAAAGAAGGGAAGAGATTGTCAAAGCGTTAAAACACGCCAACGCCAGGGAACGGCTGGCATCGACCGGGCGTTAAAACACGCCCGCGCCAGTCAAAGAGTTAATCTACAGCCAACAGTGAAAAGAGACTGGAGCTATACCGCCACTCTGCTATACAACATTCCTGACATGGTGCTTAATTAATAATGCATAGGTCACTTACACTTCACAACACTGTATAATATAATTATTACTTTAAAATGTCATCCTTTCATAAAAGCAAAAAAAAGGAAAAACCCACACATTTAAATTCACATATAAATACCTTATGAAACGTGATGACAGGACGAGGGTGAATGCGGATGATGGTTAAACAGCTCCGATATCCCTGAAGAAGCTGAGCAAATGTCCTCATGAACACAGAACGAATTTCTTTGTCCAGCATTGCAGGCTGAATAGCACGCACAGCCGGGGGTGGGAATGCATGATCTGCACAACACAGCTCAGGTTGCAGAACCAGACTCAGTGACTCCTGCATGTGACTCAAGAGGGGCTCAGGAAGAAGAGGTAATGATACACCATCAGGTACTGAAATGGAACCACCGTCCAGATCTGCAATGATCACATCCATCTGCAACATAACATTAGCGAATCAAACGCTATACTTATGCAGACACATAGATTTCTCAGTTGACATTACTTAACTGCATGGCATATCAAAACAGTGGCATAATGGTAACAAATGATAAGTCCTTTCAAGCTGTCAAGAAACAGCTTACCTTTCCCTTGTTTCCAGAGGAAAACTCAATGATGGAAATAAAATATAAAACAAATGGAACCATTCATATTTTAAATTCAAATCTGTTTCAAATTCCAACTTGTACACATCACTTCATGTCACAGGTACAAAAAGGTCATAAACTAAACTTAACATTCATTGCAGTCTAGAACTATTTAAAGATATTTCTGATCTCTGTCAACACTACACAAATTATTCTTTAAAAATTAACTTTCTCTTTCAAATATTGTGGCAGCCCTGGCAGACCAGTAAGATTTGAAGTTATCAGTTTGTGCTTGGATTCTATTAACAACAAATCTCTACATAAAATTTCATAAACACCTGCACATATGAATTGCATAAGGGGCTAGTCCAAAGTGAACTGCAATTAAAATCCAAGTGCCTATTTAACGATGCATAAATATCAAATTTCATAAAGCCACAGTAATATATACAGACAGACAGTGACAGCTTGAAAGTTCTATGTACATGATGGTCAAATTAAAACCAGTCACTGACTCACTCACTGATGGAGCTGAGCCCTTCTTGAGAAGCTGCTAATTGTACAGCCACTCAAGAAATTCCCAGCATTTTATGGAACCTGAAGGTTCACTACCATGTTCACAAGAGCCCTAAACTGGGCCCTATAGTGAGCCATATCAATACAATCCATAACATCCCATCCTATCTCTCTAAGATCCATTTTAATATTGGCTACCCAACTATGTCTTGGTCTTCCCAGTGGTCTCTTTCCTTCTGGCTTTCCCCCCAATATTTTATATGCATTCTTCTCCTCCCCCCATTCGTGCTACATACCCTGCCCATCTCATCCTCCTTGACTTGATCATTCTAATTATATCTGAAGATGAGCACAAGTTATGAAGCTCATCATTATGCAGTTTTCTCCAACCTCCCATCACTTCATCTCTCTTCGGTCTAAATATTCTCCTCAACACCCTCAGTCTATATTCCTCTCTTAATGTCAGAGAATAAGTTTCACACCCATACAAAACCACGAGCAAAATTATAGTTTTGTATATTCTAATTTTTTTTAGACAGCAGACAAGAAAGGTTCTGGATTGAATGGTAGCAAGCATTACCCCGAGTTTAATCTCCTCAATCAGGTTTCGATTTGTTATCATCATTCCCAAATATCTGAACTGTGCAACATTTTCAAAATATCTGTTACCTATCTTTATGTCATGATTTTGCCCTGTATTTTTTTTACGAGACAGCAACATATACTTAGTTTTCTCTGTGTTTACTTCTAGACCAACCTCCTTACTAGTATCAATTAAAGTTTGTGTGTTTCTCTCTATGGTATCTATATTATCACCCAGTAGATTCACATCATCAGCATAGACCAACAGCTGATATGTCCCATTTAATTTCAGTCCCAGCAGGTTTTCTTGGACCCTCCTAATGACATATTCTAAAGCAAAGTAGAAAAGCAGTGGCAATAAAGCATCTCATTGTTTCAGACCATTCTGGATAGGAAAATTATCAGACAAACTTTACCATGTTTCCTTTACACAAATTAAGACCAGTTTTAAACTAACACTGTTCACTCATCTATATAAGAGGGACAGTTGTCTAGTGCAGTGTTCCGCAACCGGTGTGCCATCACAAGGTGAAAGGTGTGACGCGAACTTTTACCTATTGTAAGAAATTAATTGTCGAATTTTATTCGTTTTATTTTATCACATTTACCATGTTTCATATGCTTGTAT